AAAAATATAATGTACAGAAAGATTGCCCGTATACACTGAAAAGTAAGCAACCGACAGCCTGTATAAAAGGGGGGGCTGTGATTGGCTGTTACTTACGCGAGATTTGAACGGGACTTAGATAGGCGTCGGATCAGATGTAGGTAGGGCGGAATTAAAAAAAAAATCTCAAAATCAAAGTAAAATAATAAAATAAAAGGGCATCAATAACAAATATAATAAAAAATAAAATTAAAATAAGTTTATAGCCAAAATAATTAAAGCCCGTACACTACATCAGATTTTAATCAGATTGGGTCCCCCATTACTTGGTCGAACACAAGCACCTGCGGACCTTAACCAAGGTCCCCCCAAAGTCGCATTCGTTAGTGATTGAATCTCGGCCACTGGAATTGGGCTTCCCATTGAGTCTGTGGCACACTCACCCAGGGTAAGGGTCGACCCTTTTCTGTTCAGCCTAAGGTAGGATTTGAATTTGGGTCTACCGATCATGAGTCTAATGCGACAACCACTATGCTACTAGTGACCATCCTTTCCTTCTTTCTTTTTTTGTCTCGTTTTTAACTTTTTTCCTTCTAGCTATTGCCACCCGTGTAAAATAAATAAGTTTTTATTGATAAACATTATTATTTAATTAACTGACGTATAAATGAGTTGGGGAATTTAAAGGACGATGGTCGTCGCGCCGCGTCCTGTTTGATGTGGGACTCATAGCGACGTATACAACGCGCGTATAATACTTCGTTTATTGACATTCGAACACGCGCTGCACGACGATCACCGCGCTTTAATATTAGCGAAATGTGTTGATAAAAGGACATTTAAGGTTAAAACAACTTTTTCAATGTGTACATAGTGTGAAACGGGTGTGTATATTTCTGAAATTAACGTGATCAGTACTGATACAAAAGCTCCACTATGCGCGACTGTATGTGTGACTGTAAAACCTTTGACCCCTTAACATGTGACGTCACGTCCGTGATGCCCTTTGCACAGCTGAATCACTTGTGTATTGAACAACGTGGGTAAAAAATAATGTCACGTCCATTGCTTGGTAAGGTGTGCGTAGTAACTGGTGCTAGTCGTGGCATCGGTAAAGGAATTGCATTACAACTCGGAGAGGCTGGAGCTACGGTTTACATAACAGGTATGTATGTATATATACATCCTACATTGTTTTTCCAGGGTCATATGTGTTATTGTTTACTCCCTGCCTCCAGTCCCATAAATAGAGTCAGAGAGCGTGTGGAGACCGGTAGTAAACTTAACACATATAAATAACACGTTAATCTGGAATATACATGACTATCAAGGCTCGTTTCTTGCCCAACACTGATTTGTTGGGCACGCGAGTCACGAAACTCGAATCGAGCGACTGCCCTGAGTTCACGACTGTTTGTGGGTTTCCCTGCTGGTTCCTACTCCCATGATACCTCAGCGACGGGGCTATGGCATTGGCTGAAATATTGCTAAATTAGACAACATTTTAAACATTCACACACTTAATAAATTCGCCCATGAAAAAACAATAAAATCAATCACAGTTAGATTAGGCACATTACATAATACAGTACCCCAATATAGTAATTTATTAGGCACATTACATAATACAGTACAACAATATAGTAATTGATTAGGCACCTTACATAATACAGTACAACAATACGGTAATTGATTACGTACATTACAATATGTAGTACACCAATATAGTAATTGATTAGGCACATTACAATATGCAGTACACCAGTATAGTAATTGATTAGGCACATTACATAATACAGTACAACAATATAGTAATTGATTAGGCACATTACATAATACAGTACAACAATACGGTAATTGATCAGGCACATTACATAATACAGTACAACAATATAGTAATTGATTAGACACATTACAATATGCAGTACACCAATATAGTAATTGATTAGGCACCTTACATAATACAGTACAACAATACAGTAATTGATTACGTACATTACAATATGTAGTACACCAATATAGTAATTGATTAGGCACATTACAATATGCAGTACACCAATATAGTAATTGATTAGGCACATTACATAATACAGTACAACAATATAGTAATTGATTAGGCACATTAT